AGACATCCACAACAGCACCACTCGGAGCCGTTGCCTATTGTCTCCCAGATGGCGACAGCGAAACATCGGATGCAGCAGAGGCATATTCAATCTCGCAATTCGACAAGAATGACATCGACATCGACGAGCTTGTTGCGGCAGCGGAAGATCCAAATCGAACACGATGCATCACCGAACTGGGCAGTGATCATACAGTGTCGATTCGAACGGAGCTTGACCACCCCACCAAACTCATATTCAACAATTTCGTTGACGAGATGTTCAACCAGCTGGCCAAACCTTATCGTACCATCAACAACGAGCTCATTTACATCAAAGCAAGTCAGGCCACTGTTATGAACATCGCTCGGGCATTTGCCCAAGCACGACTTCTTGATGTCGATCTTGCACGGAAAACACAGGGCTTCTATGTGGAACCGGAAAACCTGCTGACCATCACGGTACCAACGGGCTTACCCAAAAAAGCTATCTACCGTGGGGAACATGCAGGCACTTACCTCAGCTACCACAAAACGAGTTGGGAATCAGTTGCCAAAATTCTGGCTGAAGATTGCATCCGTCCAGCTAGCTGGACAAAAAACGAAGCCGGCATACCGACCCAGTACCCGTGCTACGGATTCTTCGGCATGTCATCTGAGATCGCCGACATCGATGAGCTGCCAGCGTATTCTGTCAAGCTATGTACATCCCAGCTCTACAAAATTGGCAAAGGACAAAACCCATCGGGCCTTTTTGGCCATTTGTCGCTCCCCAAAATGCATGAGGGCCCAATCTGGAGGAAATGACCAAATTCAACGCCTGGGTGCTATTCAAGGGATTGCCAGAGGAAAAGACGGTGCAACGGCAGTGAACTCCAGCTGTGCTTCGGTATCCTACGTCGCCTCTACTCACCCGGTCTTTGACAGGCTCATCACCCGAACCCAACCTGCAGCACGCACATCAGCGACCACGGCACCCAGCGAACCACCTGAAAACCCACCTCCTGATCATGGACCACCTGCACCGACCACCGCTACTACCAGTACACCTGCGGCTTCAAATCCACCTTCGACAACCCACACCGGCAGAACCTCGACACACCGTGAGACCTCGGATCACACAGCCCCAGACCACAGACGCCACTATTGGGACAATACCTCAACATGGGATGACTCCGCACCTGTCCATCGAGGCAATTACTCTTCTTACCGTGAAGGTCGCTCTCGAGATCATCATCGTGAAGGCCACTCCCGACACTACAATTCCACACATGATTCCTACAAATCTCGCTGGTAAACACTACATCCCTGAGGAGCACTTCTGGAATCCTGACTACATCCATGAAGAGTACTCTTGAGCCAAGTGGCCCCGACCGATCATTTTGGAGTAACAATGCTTCTCCCGACCCTTCGGTATTCACCGCCACTTCTTCCGTCAAAATTCGTTTGATTGGCCGACTGCGTGATCATCAGCTTCCTTTTATTTATTCATTCATTTGGCAACACTTGTTTGAATGGCTGGGGCTAAGCCGATCACCCCACGAAACAAATTCACATTAATTGCACTCAGACAGATTGAGATTCATTACTGTCTGCACACCGAACATGGCTGGGGCTAAGCCGTTCACCCCACAGTTATTGTCATGCACAGTTGGGCTGATGGCCCTTGCCGATTTGTATTCTGACATCTTCCGCACTTTTAAGCTGCTTATTGCTATTATCCGCCTCGAGCTCCCTGTGACCGTCGTCTACACCATGGCGTCTCAAGACCTGATCTCCCAATTCAGCCAAGCATCTTGTGGTATACCGGCCACACAACCCGACCGATCTCGCACTCCCCGACGACCCCACCAAGATTGGCATCATCCTGTACCGACGTTTCGTGGACCCATGCACTATGCAATGACGACCTCTCGACCTTTTTGGCCTCCCGCCGGAGTGCCTCCGCCACCACCATTGACCTCTTCGTTCGCCTCACGCCCTACCTGGACACCTACGGCACCAAACCCATTATTCCCACCTACACCACCAACCTTTTCACAAGCACCTCCTGACTATACAACGCTCACACCTCAACGACACAACACCACTCCGAGATCGCCGAGGTCTATGGCATCACCTTCTGGAACTTCTCCAATTCGCGAGGGCTACACTTGTCGTCCAATTGAAATTCCTCCGGTGGACCTCTGGAAACCTGATGTCGACTTTCACGACTCCAACAAGGTGAATGGTTTGGATTTCCCCTCCAAGATACGCCAAAGTCGATTTTCCAGCTATAAGGACATCGAAGGTATGGATCCTTTACAGGTCCCACTTTGGAAATTCTGGTACCAAGGGCTGCACAATTCTTGGCTTCGTCGCATTGCCTACGGACGAGAAACTTTTGTTCTTCCTTTTGACAACATTGGCACTACAGTGTTTATCGCAGAATTGGTGTCGCAACTACGCACGAGGAACGTGGATTTGGACAAGTTGGCTACTTTCAAATCTCGTTCAGCCGGCCATTTTGTCAACCAGAAGGAAGCCACCCAGAACATGGCCAAAGAGGTTGCTCAACTTCTTCAATCTTGGCTCCCTGCCCAACCGTCCGCAGACAATGCCAGCCAACAGCGCATCCTTGAATTGGAAGCAGAACTTGCCAAGATGAAGTCAGACAATGCCCCAAACCCACCAACTACACCTGAAGCATCCGGGCAAGCCTCGACACCGATTGGACGTGCTCTACAAGGACAAACCTCAGCTTCGACGTCTTTTGATCCTTCGTCTTTGCTGGTCTCGCCAGGCTCCGTCAACCAATGGCTGGTCGACAACCAACCTTCTTCGCTGACCGAGACGCAGTACAAAAAATATTTGAAAGATTTGAAACTTCCTCAACACAAACAAGATACGTTGGAGAAGCAATTGGAGAAAGTTACCGAATGGTGGCATAACCAGCAGGACGACGCAGTCAAAACGATCCAGAGGGCTAGTGTAGCGATGGGCATCGATCCATGCAAGCACAAGAATGCAGCCACGGATGAGATTGTCCTCAAGGTTATGACGGTTGCGATGCTGATGCACTCCTGACTAGCTACGTATTTGAATTCACCTGGCTCAAGAGCAGCCCGGATCAAATGCAAGAGCTCGCCGTCACACATGCTTGTATTCTTTCTCTGGCCTTGTTGACACCTTTCACTCTTTCCCCTTCTGTTGATGTTTTCTTTGCTTTTCGTATGATTCAAACGGCGTTGATGGGTCAGTACGTACTACTGCATCCAAAAGCTAATTCGAAATTGCAAGCCTTGCTGAAAGGCACTCCGTTGCGGCGTATTTTCTTTTGCACATCATGGGACGACTTGACAGTCGCATTCCAGTGTTAACACTCACAAGCTGTTTATGTCCGGTTCTGCCATATTGCCAACTTCCAACCAAAATTTTATTTGGGATCTACTTCTTCGTTTGTATTGGACCGCGAACATTCTCGCTACCGGAAGTTTTTACAGGTGCAGCAGAACAAATTCGTACTGGCCGAAGTTGCCTTACGGTTTTGGTGTAGGTACGACAACTTCTGGATGTGGTCTGTCTTTCCAATCTACACCAAAAAATCCAACTTTTGGGCTTTGGAGCAAGCCTTAATTCAATTGTGGCAACCTCAATTAAATACTCCGTTTACTTACCAGTTTCTCAATTGTCGGAAAGGACTCATTCCTCGTGCGAAGTTCCAGGGCTCACGTCAATTTGGATTCTATTCGTTGTGGCGCAAATTAAGATGGAAGTCAACCCCCGCACGAGTTCGACAAGCTCTTCACAGCCCACTATTTGCTCGCCGAGTTCAACTTTGGGAAATCATCCAAGACCTTGGGAGCAACTCTGTCAAACGATTTCACATGGAAAAACGACTACGCTCCAATGAAATTGGCCAACAAGGATGCTACTTCATTCGACGACTCGCCAACAACCTTGGAGAACCTCAACGATCCTACGCCATCAACGCCATCGACCGGGCCTTGAAATTTTGGAAAGCCAAGCGGGTCCGTAAACCCGTACCACTTCAAGCACCCTGGCTCCCCGCTACAGATTGGACTCGCCATCTCCGACAGCTTCTTACCACCCACGTACACCTGACCAAGCAGTACAACACCACTCTTCAGACTCCTTCCACTGGTATTGTATTCACCAAATTTCCATCGGTCATGGACAGCCTATGCAATCACAAAGAAGCTGCTACTCGATGGGCAGACGGCGAGACCCCGATTTGTGCATGTCCAGCCCTCCGACAACATTCACCTTTACCTCATCAACCCGACCAACATCTTGTCCTTGATGGAGACAATCTACAATTCGCCGATGCACCATTGCGACGGGCTCACTTCAAAACAAGATATTTCCACCATCCAAAGAGATTTACGACTCTCTTCGTTCTGCTCTGACGACATGGACTACGAGGAATTCACTTCCATCACTGCCCAAAGTGCATCTTGACGATCTTTGGCAACGGTCTATCCAATCGCACAACTCCTCCCTACAACCACATCACCCACAAGGACATTAATGTTGGCTGCCTAATAATAAATACCCCCCCCCCTAATATATATTTTTTTAGGGGGGGGTCAACTTTCCTATAATAATCTATTTGTGGGAATCTATAGCTGGGATCTACAATCTGATAGATTCTCCATAGTTTTGTTGGGTTTCTGAAAGATTCTGAATGGATTTGGTTGGGTTTCTGATAGATAGGGTATGGATTTTGCATGGATTAGGGTTAGTTTCTGTTAGATTCTGCATGGGTTTGGTTTGGTTTCTGTTAGAATCTGCATAGGATTTGGTTGGATTAGGGTTGGTTTCTGTTAGATTCTGCATGGATTTGGTTTGGTTTCTGTTAGAATCTGCATAGGATTTGGTTGGATTTCTGAGATGTTCTGCATGGATTCTGCTTAGTCTTGGTGAAGTTTCTGGTGGATTTCTGAGATGTTCTGCATGTAGCACTCTGGCTCCTCTGGCCTTTCTGTCTGTGTGTCTCTGTCTTCACCTCTGATCTGCGCCATGTCTTTGCCTTCTTCTGTGGACTCTGCGCCTGCTGAGTACAGCCCTGATATACAGCACAGGGTCTGTACGAAAGCTCTGGTCCAGCTCCAGAAAGAAATTTCTGGATATCGAGCTGGCAAAGATGGGCGTGGGTATGTGCACTCCTCTGGGGAGTGCACATACGCAGTTCTGAAATCTCGTCTGAGGTGGGAGTTGCTTGGATGCAAGGGTTCTGGACTTTGCATGGGTTTGAGGAGTTAATTAATTATTGGGATTGGTTTCTGGTGGGAAGCTCTTGGATATGGGGTTGTTTGCTGGGTTTTTATTCTGCATGGATTCCTGGGCTTGCTGAGGCTGGAATCCTATCTGTTTGCTGGTGGCCCTGCCCTTCTGTGGAAGTGGATCTGTTGGTTTGCCTGGATGCAGACTGCTGCTGAGTGGCTGTATGAGTCAATTGACTCTGGCACCAGCAGCCTGAATCTGGCAGCTGTTCTGCGCAATCTGAAGGTGGTCTGGACTGAGCTTCCTGGCTGGGGGAGGGGGTTATGCATGGGTTTTGTTAAGATTCTGATGGATTTCTGTTGAAGTTCTGATGGGTTCTGCATAGGAATTGTTGAGATTCTGATGGATTTTTGTTGAAGTTCTAATGGGTTCTGCATAGGAATTGTTGAGATTCTGATGGATTTTTGTTGAAGTTCTGATGGGTTCTGCATAGGAATTGTTGAGATTCTGATGGATTTTTGTGGAAGTTCTGATGGGTTCTGCATAGGAATTGTTGAGATTCTGATGGATTTTTGTTGAAGTTCTGATGGGTTCTGCATAGGAATTGTTGAGATTCTGATGGATTTTTGTTGCAGTTCTGATGGGTTCTGCATAGGAATTGTTGAGACTCTGATGGATTTTTGTTGAAGTTCTGATGGGTTCTGCATAGGAATTGTTGAGATTCTGATGGATTTTTGTTGAAGTTCTGATGGGTTCTGCATAGGAATTGTTGAGATTCTGATGGATTTTTGTTGAAGTTCTAATGGATTCTGATGGGTTTTTGTTGAAGTTCTGATTTGTTCTGCATAGGTATTGTGTTGAGATTCTGATGGATTTTTGTTGAAGTTCTAATGGATTCTGATGGGTTTTTGTTGAAGTTCTGATTGGTTATGTATGGATTTTGGTGGAAATCTGATGGAGTCTGCATGGATTTGATGAAATCTCAAAGTTCCTGCATGGATTTGTTTGGTTTTCTGATGTGCTCTGCATGGATTTACTTGTATCTCTGGCAGGGTGTTCTGATAGGTTTCTGATAGATTATCCATTGTCTCTGTGGGCACACTAAGGGTGATCTGCTTCACTGCCTCTGAAGTCTCTGTGAAGCCTATGGACGTGATCCTGCCAGAGCCATATGCTCTGTGGGAGCTCTGGATCAAGAGCTGCTACTTGACTTATATGATATATGTTTTACTATTTCTTATATATCATATACTATATATATATGTGATATTTGGTACTTTATATATATATATGTAAATATACATACATACATACATACATACATACATACATACATACATACATATATATCAGATAATATTAGATAATATTGTATATATATATATGTTAAATTAAATGTTTTATACCTTATGTTCTGTCATTTTGTATGGGTTGCTTTGCTGATATTTAAATCTATATCTCTCTGTCTCTTTCTTTTTTAAATATAACTCATGTGGCTTCTGCCCAGACTATAAGGAGACTCTGGCCCATATGACCTACATTCTGGAACTCGCTGAAGCAAAGGGGAAGGATTCTGATGCTCTGGTGGCTCAGGCCTGGTATGTTTTATGCTGATGAATTTTGCATGGATTGTGTTGAGACTCTGATTTTTGTTGAAGTTCTGATGGGTTCTGCATAGGAATTGTTGAGATTCTGATGGATTTTTGTTGAAGTTCTGATGGGTTCTGCATAGGAATTGTTGAGACTCTGATGGATTTTTGTTGAAGTTCTGATGGGTTCTGCATAGGAATTGTTGAGACTGATGGATTTTTGTTGAAGTTCTGATGGGTTCTGCATAGGAATTGTTGAGATTCTGATGGATTTTTGTTGAAGTTCTGAGGGTTCTGCATAGGAATTGTTGAGATTCTGATGGATTTTTGTTGAAGTTCTGAGGGTTCTGCATAGGAATTGTTGAGATTCTGATGGATTTTTGTTGAAGTTCTGATGGATTCTGCATAGGAATTGTTGAGATTCTGATGGATTTTTGTTGGATTCTGCATGCCCTGTGTCTTCATGGCAGGTGGAGTGGCCCAACGAAGATCTGAAGCCTCTGCCACTATCTGATGCTGCCAAGGAGTCCATGCAGAGGAGGAGGGAGGCTCTGATGTGAGGCTCTGATGCTGGCCTGTGCTGCTTTGCTGGTCTGGTAAAGGAGCCTTGGCTTTCTTTAGTGTCTGAATGGTCTTCTCATATGGTTCTGTGATGTTTTCTTCTGATTTTTAAATGTCTTCTGCTCGGTTCTGATTGTGTTGTGGTCGGTCTTCATGGGGTTCTGTGAGTGGAATGTTTGTGAGATGGTTTTCTGTTGACCCCAGGGTCTGGCTGCAGCACTGCGCTATGCTGCTGGGCTTCTGAGCCTGCGAGCCTCTGTACAGCTGATTTGAGCCTCTGTACACCTACTTTTGGAGTTCTGAGTAGATCAATTAGTTGAATTAGTAAATCATGCTAATTAATAATCATTCATTACATAACTAAGTAATGGTCATGACACCTGCTAATTAGTAATGATATCATATCTGTGTTGATCTGATCATCTGTTTTTGATCTGCTTGGATGATTTTGAAAGCTGATGCTGCCATAGGGTGGATGCCATTGGATCTTTGATAAAACATAGTTAGCAAGTAAATAAATACATAAATATGTGTATATATATATAAATAGTTATACTTATTTGACTTCAGAAATATATCAATAATCTGAAGGTGTTTTCTGATCCAATGGCTGCCATTCTGTGTATCTCTGCTGTGCCTCTGTGGCCTTTCTGCTGCTGATCGATCTGATTGCCTGGCAAGCATCTGTGGCTGCAAAAGCTTCTGCATGGATTCTGCGCCTTGGGGGTGTGGTTTCTGATAGGTTTCTGATAGGTTTTTGAAAAGGGTTTTGCTTTACTTTGCTTTCTCCAAACATCTGAAAACAAAACCAGGGGAAGCACCATTGGAATTCATTATTGCCATGCCTGGTGCAGGTTTATTATTGCTATTCTGGGGCTTGTAAAGGGGATACCCTTTGTGGACCTGTTTTTTTGCTTTTTTAATAAGGGTTTTATAAGGAAATCAGCTGTTTGGTAATTGGATCAGATTTCTGGAATCTAAGCTTTTGTTAATGAAAAGTGCTTGCTGCTTTGAAAAGGGTTTTGCTTTACTTTGCTTTCTCCAAACATCTGAAAACAAAACCAGGGGAAGCACCATTGGAATTCATTGTTGCCATGCCTGGTGCAAGTTTATTATTGCTATTCTGGGGCTTGTAAAGGGGATACCCTTTGTGGACCTGTTTTTTGGCTTTTTTTTTCTACGGGTTTTATAAGGAAATCAGCTGTTTGGTAATTGGATCAGATTTCTGGAATCTAAGCTTTTGTTAATGACAAGTGCTTGCTGCTTTGAAAACGGTTTTGCTTTACTTTGCTTGCTCCAAACATCTGAAAACAAAACCAGGGGAAGCACCATTGAAATTCATTGTTGCCATGCCTGGTGCAGGTTTATTATTGCTTTTCCCCCATAAGATTCCATTGGGTTTGATGGAATTTGATTGCTAAAATTATCTGGATCCCACAAGGTTCGGATGGATTTGATGAGATTTGAAGGTTAAAATCTCATGGATCCCACAAGATGCCATTGGATTTGATGAGATTTGATTGCTAAAATTTCATGGATCCCAAGAGATTCCATTGGGTTTGGTGAGGTTTGATTGCTACAAATCTCATTGGTTCCCATAAGATCCCATTGGATTTGATATTATTTGATTGCTAAAATCCCATGGATCCCAAATGGTTCCATTGGATTTGATAAGATTTGATTGCCAAAATCTCATGGATCCCATCAGATTCCACTGGATTTGATGAGGTTTGATTGCTAAAATCTCATGGATCCCACAAGGTTCCATTGTGTTTGATGAGATTTGATTGCTAAAATCACCTGGATCCCACAAGGTTCGGATGGATTTGATGAGATTTGATTGTTAAAATCTCATGGATCCCACAAGATGCCATTGGATTTGATGAGATTTGATTGCTAAAATCTCATGGATCCCACGAGATTCCATTGGATTTGATGAGATTTGATTGCTAAAATTTCATGGATCTCATGAGATTCCATTGGGTTTGGTGATGTTTGTTTGCTACAAATCTCATGGATTCCCATAAGATCCCATTGGATTTGATGAGATTTGATTGCAAAAATTTCATGGGTCCCATGATAGTATACAATGCCCTCTGGACAAGGTCTGAACATGCCTTTTTTGGCAATACTAAGAGTAAATAGAGCTAATTGACTTTTAGTATTGGAGAAAAAATTGGAGTTGGAAAAAAAGTTTCTACTATTGCCATGTTGGGTCCACTATTGGCCATGCCCTCTGGACAAGGTCTGAACATGACTCTTTTGGCAATACTAAAAGTAAATGGAGCTAATTGACTTTTAGCATTGGAGATAAAACTGGAGTTGCGGAAAAATGTTTCTACTGACAAGATATCACTATTGGTCAGACAACATTACACGTTTCAAGCAACTTTTCCCAGACGCTGTCTTTCACAATGAAGACAAACGAGCTACATCTCTTCGAATTTATTGTCCAGTCATCTACTACCAGTGCCTTACCAAGACTTTCGCCGACCCATTGGTTTTTCGCAAACTGGAAGAGAGCCCAAACCACATCATCGAGAAGACCATCGCCGACATCATCAAGCAATTTGGCGAATCATACCCATGGGCTTTCGGTGCTGGAAGAGACTTACCGAATGCATATGTCCTCCCAAAGCGCAAGAAACAGTTTCTGGCAGGAAGACCTATTGTGAGCTTCTTTACTGCACCGTTCCGACCCATGCTGAATTATATCGCCAAGATGATCTACCACTTACTACCTCAAGCCTTCCCTCACAACCTGGCCAAAGGGGACGTCTTTGACCTCATCAAACTTCTAAAAAACACCGACTTCGACAACCTTACTACACCTC